ACTGTCTAAAATTTGACATATAGAAACAAATGTTATACCGAGTTTTGCAAACAACGCTCTTCATTTTTTTACTCACTTTTTTTGTATTTTCTTTTTCACATAAACAGAGACACAGTTTAGTGCACAGTTTGTGAGCTCGGTACCTTTCTCTTATGATCTCAATTTAAAAGATATAAAGTCTACCATTGATAAAGTCAAGCAAGTACCAAGATAAATAGATATGTTACATCCTCTCGCTTGGTAAACACACAAAAAAAGAAACAATACAATGAAACAGCGGTTTGTCTGTTGCTTAGTCACGACAGTATCATATCAAGTGAATCTAAGAATAAAAGATCTTTAATTCACAATGATTTTATTTTTCTAGAAAATATTAACGAAGACACTGTCTCATCTAATTCTTCACTTTAGAGCTCAATTTCGATCCATAAGTAAGGCTCAGTAAAATTCAAATCTTCAAACTCTTCTTTTACGATATATGATTGAATTCAAGCTTAAGAAACTTAAGAGATCTTCTATTGTTTGATAATGGTGTTTCTTCACAAGTACAATCTATTTTCTTTTAAATTTTCAAACTCCTATTTTCTATTACGAAACTCATGCATACATCAGTTCTCATCGAGGAAAACAGAAAAAAGTGAATTATTTTTGGATGTGGGTGGGTTGTGCGTGCAGAGTAGGGTATGTGGGTGTGAGTGTCGGTATGACTGTGAGTGCAGATGCGAGTCTCATTATCTTACACGTCGACAACCATACCCTACATCCACATCCACCACACCCTTCCCTCACTAGATTTTATCCATCATTATTAGCACTAGTTTTTGCTACTTCAATGACTTTAGATGCCACTAAACTTGAGGTCTGCATTAAGATACGTCAATCCTTTACAATCAATACAATTTTTATTAAGTTAAATGTCTGTTGCGTTCTTCAAGAGATAATGCAAGAGTTATTGTCGATTGATAATAATCGATCGATATGAGGTGAAATTTCAAACTTGTGATTTCTACCATGTTTCTTATATTCATCGAAACAATACATTACTAAGATTTTTTCTGCTTCACTCAACATCTTGTTTCCATCACTTTCTATACCAATTTGATTTCTTTCATTCAGCCAGACACTGCTAAACTTCAGTTGTCTATTTACATATGCGAATCCACCACAAGCAACACGATCTTGGTTGAATGTAATGCCTAGAACATTCTTCAGTAGATAATCATGTACACGTCCTTGTCCAGCCTGTTTTCGACAGTCTTCTGGCCAATCATTTGTACACTGTATAATCAAATAGAAACTTCTTCCTTTGTAACCATTTGCTCTTCCACCTTTTAACCGAACAAAAACAATTATCTCTCTCTCAAGTGTCTCATATAGTTTTACTCACTATGATTAGTCCACTCAAATTTTCCATCGATTGCATAGATAATTGCACCAGCATAATTTCGTGATTCATCAAACTCATCACAAAAATAAGAAGTTTTGCAAGTGATGGTTCCGAGTTCCCTTTTGATCGATCGGTACAGACGTTTGAAATCTTTCTTACCCATCTAACGAAATCACAGTACAAAACGAGGTCTCGCTTTTCTATTAATCACTCTTTAATTGCTACTCCATCAAAGAATCACTATCCTTTTTTATCTTTTCACGTGACACAGAGTATTATGGGAGCTTTCATGTAATAACAAATATCGATTATGCATTGCTATATTTAACCGGGAATATTCAAACTGACTCATCTAGTCATCTGTGCACGAACGAAATTTGTTCTTTTTTCTCGTTCTTATTGAGTATATTATTAGATATGTTTCATTCTTTTGTTCGTGCACATGACATGTGAGCCAATGTGAATATTCCCGATTAAATATAGCAATACATAATCGATATTTGTTATTAGATGGAAGTTTCCATGCTACTCTGTGTCGCGTGAAAAGATAAAAAGGAATTGGAATTCTTCGTTAGAGTCGTGATTAGAGAGTGATTAGTAGAAAACCGAGATCTCATTGTGAGCTGCGAAGCAGTTTCTACTTGATTATACAGTGTACAAATGATTGGCCAGAAGACTGTCGAAAACAGGCTGGACAAGGACGTGTACATGATTATCTACTGAAGAATGTTCTAGGCATTACATTCAACCAAGATCGTGTTGCTTGTGGTGGATTCGCATATGTAAATAGACAACTGAAGTTTAGCAGTGTCTGGCTGAATGAAAGAAATCAAATTGGTATAGAAAGTGATGGAAACAAGTTGTTGAGTGAAGCAGAAAAAAATCTTAGTAATGTATTGTTTCGATGAATATAAGAAAGATGATACAAATCACAAGTTTGAAAATCTCATCGTCTGTGGATCGAGCATTATCAAACCAGTTAAAGGTATTCCACACATTTCTCTAAATGATGTAGATCTATGAAGACGTTATGGTTTGTTTTTAATTTTCAATTGATATTCACAGACAAATGACTTGGATGTTTTCATTCTGAAAGCTGTGTTATGGTCGAGGAAAAACTATTTCTTTCTTTATTAGAATGCTAAGTTCAGTAACGCCGTTAAGCACGATGCTTTTTCATTGATTTTTTCTGAGAAATCGAAATTGACATAGAATATTACATTCGATGTCTATTTGGTCGATCCAAAGATAATAGGTATTATCTGCATAAGACGTTTTTTCCATACATAATACATTGTAGGAGAAATTTTTTTTTTTTGAGATAAAACTACCGTTGAAACATAAATGATAGTCGCAGAATTTGTATTGACAACTGAAAACTGAACCAAAAATTTGTTTTCAAATGGATTCTTATCTCAAAGATTTCAAAAGTATCTCGTTTCTAGGTTTTCCAAGAACTTTTCGACTAATTTTATATTTGAAGACGTCTGCTGTAGCTAGAAAAAATGAACTGTACATTTACCATAGGTCCTTGATAAGATACTTTTTATATTAGTTGAGAATATCCTATGTGGAATGTTTTTGGTCTATTTTCAAATAAGAGCAGATGGTTTCCGTTCTATACCATTATGTTTAAAAGCAATGTGCTTCATGACGAGAAATAACTTATTGATTCCTTTGTGTGATCACTTCTATTCAGTACCCGAGCAGATAAGCATGTCACTTTTTGTACTAATTTTGTATTTAAAAAAAGTGTATCTAATTTATTATATAGTTTGTTCCCTTCGTACAGATTTTTGGCATCTAAATTTTTAATGGCAAAAAACGGTCACTTTTTTTATCAAAAATAGTGAAAAACTTTTGAGCGTTTAAACGCATTGAAAAACACAAATGAAACATCAAATTATATGTAATTTTTTTTGACTATTTTCGAAAATTCTATTTTATGCGTTTATTTGTTATATTTTATATATAACAATTATCTGTATTTCTCTTCTTGCTATAGTGATATAACACTCTTTTTTGCTACAACTGTTCAAACTTAATTCAACACGCAGTTATATTTTACTTTCGTAAAGGTAAGATCTAGCTCTATTTTTGTTATTCACTCTTAATTTCTAAAGGAGACAATTACCCAGAAAGAAAAAAAAAATATATATATATATATATTATTCATATGCACTTTTAGTGATGTAGTACTTTCAATATTTCATGTTATCTTACCTACTTAGTTGAATAATCACAACTTGGATTATACCTTGAATGTTAGTGGCGTGCAGCGACATAGAATGTATAGAAATAACAGATTTAAATTACTACTTAATCAAAAATACATGTGAATAGTGTATATGTATACATAGTTTTCTTTCTGGGTAACTGTCTTCTTTAGAAACTAAGGGTGGAGAGTCAAAAAAAGAGCTAGATCATACCTATACGACAGTAAAATATAACTACATGCTGAATTAAGGCTAAGATATTGTTTCTTTTATTCTGAAAACGAAAATATCCATGTTCTCAACATTATTTCTACTACAAATTTCTCGTTCATTTTTAGAATTATTAATGACGTTTTAAGCATGTCTTCAATAAAGGTTTTTAGGGGAATATTCTTAGAAAAAAAATAAAAGCTTTTAAACCTTCTTTATCTCCTTAAGTTTCGAATCGGTTCGGTTCGGTTCCAAAAAAATACGAACCGATCCCATCACTGTTTCACATACTCATTTGTTACTGAAATTAGTTGTTAAATTTGAACTAGAAAATAAATGTACATTTTTTATTTTTTCGAAATACAACTGAAAATATATAAATAAAAAAATATTCTCATATATTCTTTTTATCACGAAATAAACATTTATAATACAAAGCCAAGTTCAATGTTTTCCATTTATTCATTCGAGCATGAATAAGACAAACATCTTAAGAAATAATGTAGAGACAGAACTGAATACAAAAATATCTCATCAAAAATATAAGAAAGCATTTGATTGTGTGTACTGTACACGTGAAAAAAGTTGCTCAGAAAAATTTTCGATAAAAAAAATGTATCTCATTTACACTCAAAAATTGAAATTTTTGAGGTACAACGGGCGTTTTCCGTTATAAATAACGTTTCAACCACTTTTATGCATAAATTTGACGAAATTTGGCAGAAAAAACGAGTAAAAAAAGTGGAAAAAAAAAGAAACTGTCGAAAAAATCGACAAAAACACGACTTTTTTGTGGGTTTTTTGAAATAAACGAAATAAACGAATAAAATCTGACTAAAAAAGTTGCTACTTTTGTTCAAAAAACGTCAAAAATCGACATGTCTGTCTGCTTGGGTAGTAGAATCTCGTACACTCGTACAGAAGCGCATAACCCGGAAAATGGTCGAACTTCTGATGAAAAAGCAATTATTCAGAAACATGGTCTCATCAAAATTGTTTGTACCTCCGACACTCACAATGGACATACGAAATCGGAGTTCCCGAACAAAATCCAATCAATCCGCGATGATATCTTAATCCATACCGACGATTTCACTGATCGTGGAACAGATAAAGAAGTACGTAGTGCATTTGATTGGCTACTGTCATTAAACAATTTTATATACAAAATATTCATCTCTGGCAACATGGATGGCATTCGTTTGGATAATCCTTATTTTGGCAATGAAGAAGAAAAACGTCGGACACTATTTCGAAATAATGAGAATGTGATCTATCTGGAAAATGACTCATGCGAAGTGTTTGGTATAGCAATCGATGGATGTCCATGCACACCAAAATTTTGTGGTGGATTCCAATATTCACGGCAGTCTACGCAAGCAAAGATGTTATGGGGTCAAATTCCAGAAGATTGTGATATTCTGATCTCTCATGGACCACCTGCCGATATTTTCGATACAAATTCCAGAGGTACGATTGTAGAATATTTCGAAATTCGAGCACGATCTTTATTCGTAATAAGAATAAAGGGACTAAGACAGTTTTTTAAGCCAGCTAGAAAAACGATAAAAGTGTCTAGTAACGTGAAAGAGACTTTTAAAATCTGAGACTTCTTTGAACAATGTACTTAACAACTGATAAACATAGTTTTTTTTTATCTATAATTTTTAATTGTAGGTAAACTGGAAATGGAAAATCAAATTAAGAATGTTTGGCTTCTAAGTAAAAATGATCTTGCTGAAGAAGAAGGATTTCTGAAGAAAAAGGTACAATTCCAAAGTTTTCTCTTCGCCTCACTGATTCTTCCTTATGGCGAAAATACCAGTTCAATTTGATAACTCGAATGTGAAAATCGATTATTGTGACTAACAAAGATAGAAAATATTCTCTGTTAATTAGCAATGAAAATTAGAATACACTTCATGTGTTGCAATGATGTTCAATAGAGAATAAGACCCATACGTTGTTTTTTGCAAAGTTCAAAAAATTTCCTTGGATCTGTTCTGAATATAATCCAATGCCATCGTTGGTCTACTCTTGTATTTGTATTATTAAGAATTTGATTTGTCCTTCATTCTTAGGCTTACATGTTGGTTTTTTGAGTCAACATAAGAATCGTTGTAGTTAGAGTGAGATCAGTAACATAGATCAATATTTTTTAAAGTTTTATTATTATATTTATTATTATTATTATCGACAGAAAAAAATTGGAACAAAGAAAAGAGAACACAAGAACAGCAGCAACAACAAAAATTATAGACAATAATAAGAACCAAAAATGACGACGGAAAGGAGGAGAAGAAGAAGGAGAAGAAAAAAAAATCAATGAATAATACACTACTTATCTGAATGAGTTCTAACACAATCCCTTTCGAATTGTTTCTTTTTCAAGCGAACAAATTCGTTTCTCAGAGATGATCTTAGAATAATATACTCTACGAAGATTCTTTTGCCTAAATATAAGATTCATATAGCGAAAAAAAAAGAATTTGTTACAAGAAGTTACCTACCACGAATACTTATCTGCCATGAATATTCAATTTTTTCAACAGAGATCATCTACTACGAATATTTGATTTTTCAAGAAGAGTTGCCTACGGCAGATGTTGCTTTTCTCTGCTAAAGAAAAAAAAAATTTACTGAAAGTGCTTGAAACAAATGGCTTCCCATTTTAGTGATATTTATTAGAGGTTGTCGCGAAAAACTGAAGAAGAGAGTAAAGGAGTGGATGTTGATGGTTGTGCGTAGGTGTGAATGTAGATGTGGGTATGGGTGTGAGTATGACGTGTCGATAGATGTGTATATTGGTGTTGCTGGATCTTTTCTGCATTTACACTCACGTCCACACCCACACTCAGCCACACCCACACCCAGTCACACTCACACCCGACCCACACTTTGTTCTAGAAGAGAACTCAAATATAAATGGTCTTGTTGAAGATCTTTTGCATATAAGTCGAGTTTGTCAAAAATATCCAATGATGGTGGAGGCATATTTTCCAGAAATCTTGGGTGTCAGTGGGTAACTGTGTGTTGGTGTGGATGTAGGTGTGAGTGTCGATATGGATGTGGGTATGGGTGTGAGTATGGAATGTCAAATAGGTATGTATGTCGATGTTGCTGGCTCTTCTCTGCATCCACATCTACAAGAACCATCCATTAAACTACCAGCCACATACTGATCACGAGCAAATTGACCATCACAAAGTTGTATTACTTTTGAAATAGATTGTTGTTCGACGAAAATTCGTCTGTTCATTTACTAAGAAGTACATTTTCTTATTCTGTCTTACACATGCATGAGTTTCATTGTGAAGTAAAATAAATATTGAGTCACTTCTTTCTTACAACTTTTCGAATAGCATATTTTGGCTTTTTCTATTGTTTATCTAAAGTCGCACCTTTCGTGAAAGCAAAGGTAAATAGTTATGACACATTCGTTTTTGCTTCTTTCTCTGTATTATGCAAATATGATTACATATTGATTCTTGCCCATCAGGGGTGTCTCATTTCACTGTTTTTTTTTGTGCATCATAAATGACGCATTGTGTTTTATCCGAGCTTCTTTCATACCATGCTTTAGTTGGTAATACTTTCTACGCTTCTATAAAAATGCAAACCTATTTATGACATAGTGAAGAGAAATCGACTCTACTCTTAAATTGTAGACAAATTCAACTTGAAAAGCTGTCACCACTATTAGATCGTGTCTTACAAAAATGGCTTCTTCACTGGCATCTTTCTTTTGTCCAATCACTCATGAACTCATGACAGATCCAGTGATTGATTCTGATGGTAACAGTCACGAAAAACATGCAATTGAAGTTTGGATTCCTCAAAATGGTACATCACCAATAACTCGTCCTCCTGTTTCTATCGATGTCTTTCATCCAAACCTAGCTCTCAAAAAAACTATTGATGAATACCGACACTCAATTCAACCCGAAATAGATTCAACTCCTCTTCTAGCGGGAACATGTTCGTCTGACATTACAGTAACTGGAAACCATGCTGATGGCTTTGTTCACATCTCAATTCAACCTCCGCAAGATGAAAATCGTTCTTTATGTGATATTTGCTGTGTAGTTGACACTTCAGGTTCAATGTCAGATAGAGCAGAAATTCAAAATGATAAAAATGAACACTATGGTTTATCACAATTAGATTTGGTTAAACATGCTATAAAGACAATCATACAGTCTCTTCAAAGTCAAGATCGATTATCGATTGTGTCATTTTCTGATAAAGCTACTATCTTGTTTAAATTAACAAATATGAATGATGAAGGAAAAACAAAGGCTTTGACTGCCATCGAAAAATTATCGGTTAGTAGGCCATTAAAATATATATATAGGAAATATGTTTGTATGTTATATTATATACAACGATAATAATTAGTATAATGTCTTAAGTGGAATAGATATTAAACTGAATAAAGAATACGAATATTGATTAGAAAACTTGACAGGTTTTTCATAGATGTTTATTGAGCTATCGCATATTCATCATAGAGGAGTTCATAATTCTTTGAAAATGCATAAAACTCTGAGATTAATCAAGTTTATTTTATCTAACTTCCTTTGACTTACAATTCCTACAGTATACAGACAATAGATTATATTAATATTGACGATAATCTATGATGAAGTATTCTTTTATTTGTTTAAAACTTTTATACAGAGCGATGGTTCAACAAATTTATGGGATGGTCTTCAAACTGGTCTTAATATTTTATCGAAAGAACAACGTTCTATTGGGAGCATATCAGCTTTGTTTCTTCTAACCGATGGTTGTCCTAATGTAGAGCCGCCAGGTGGTCATTTGAAATCACTAGAGAAACTTAAGCAAAAAACTAATTTTACATGTATTGTCAATACTTTTGGTTTTGGATATAAGTTGAATAGCAAACTTCTCGAAGATATTTCTATATTGGGAAATTCTGGCTCATATGCATTTATTCCTGATGGATCATTTATAGGAACAATCTTTATCAATGCTATTTCAACACTATTAACTACAGTTGCAACCAATTTACAGGTAATAATTGTATTTAAAACTAACGCTAGTTATCTCAGAAAATACAAGTATTCATTTGACATACTAAAGATGGACTTGAATTTGAATCATGACAGAGATCGATAACAAACTTATCATTGACACTACATATATAAGCACACAGAAAAGTCTTTTTAGACTAGACAATTTTATGAAATAGGTAAACTGATTTTGAAATGTTCACATTATTATTGATTTCAAAAACTAGAGACATATGTGTAAAATGACAAGGACTAATATTATGGTTGAATCTATCATACTATTTTCCAGCTCATATATTCTCTTACAAGAAATGTCAAGTATTATATTAATCTTTCATTATAGTTGTTGTTTCATGAAGAGCATCTTTTACCAACTGATTATACACGTTGGTATTCAACGAAAAGCACGAATGAAGGTACCTATTTTGATTTGGGCTCGATTACATTTGGTCAAAGCAAAGATTTACTGATTCCACTTGCTCCTAAATCTACCAGTAAATGTAAATTTACGCTGACTTATGATAACCTAAAAAACATGAAGAAATCTGTCACCTTCAATTTGACAAATAATGTTCAACAAGCTGATGTTGATCTCATAACTCGACATAAATTTCGACTAGAATTTGTTCATTGTGTACGAACAGCTTTAGAGACAATGTATGAAGCAAAAATAAAATCAAGAAATACGAAAAACCAACAAAAAGCAGCAATGGATCAGATCCAAGCATTAGAGAAGAATATGGGAAAATATGCAAATGAAAATGATGAATTTATAAAAGATTTATTTATAGATTTAACAGGACAAGTACGCCAAGCTATCGAAAAAGAAGACTGGTTCCATAAATGGGGCATACATTTTTTACCTAGTTTAACACGTAAGTTTGATCGAACAAATATGAAATAATATGTCAATTTTAGATTGATTATTTGAGCTGATTCGTTTTCTAAAAGATATGAAAAAAATATGTCTCATTTAATAATCAAATGTACTTTTTCTTCAAATTTTTATTTTCTAAATAGGAGATTGAGTTCGTTGAGAATTCGAGAAAACAAAGTATATTTCTGATGAGTTTTATCTTATAGGTGCTCATCTTCTTCAATTTTGTAATAATTTCAAAGATCCAGGTGTTCAGCATTATGGAAAGGGTACACTTTTCTCAAAAATACGTGATGAAATGGATGACATATTTTGCAGTTTACCAGCTCCAAAATGTTCACAAACAAGTGCTCCGATAAATATGAGAGTCTTTCACAATGCTGCTGGAGGATGTCTCTATGGGGAATGTACAGTACATCTAATGAATGGAACCACTAAATTGGTAAAAGATGTCAAACCAGGTGATCGAATGGCACCACATGGTGGAATGGTAATCTTTGTTGTTAAAACAAAATGTCAAAATAACAAAGCAAAAATGGTTATCGTGAGTATGATTATTCTTTTCCGTTTGTCAAATAGTTTCAACGGAGTAAACTATAATTATTCAAGGTGCTTGTTTTTTTTAAATGACTCGTTTATTTGTGATTATAGTTTTTTTTGAAATCATCAATTTATTAAACTTTTTTTTTTATTCTAGCTTGAAAATGATTTGATCATCACTGCTTGGCATCCTATTCGGCTTTGTGGACAATGGATTATGCCTTGTTCACTTGTTTCGTCACCTAATGAAATTTCCTGTGATGCTGTATACAATTTCGTATTGAATGAAGGTCATAGTATATTAGTCAACGATGTTGAATGTGTAACTTTAGGTCATGGATTTAAAGAAGATGTTGTCCGTCATGCTTACTATGGAAGTCAA